AATATTTTATAGAAATATATTGAGAATGTACCACAGGTTTTATTTGTTCCTGTAACTACATGGAATCTTCGTAAAACATACTCTTCTATGATGTAATAATGTTAAGTGCCCATGAAAAAAATTAATGGTAACTTTACCAGTTTTATTTTTTGAAAGAATCTAAATATTAAGAATTAATACGTAAAAGGATTTTAAACATTAACACTAATTTGATTTATTTTCTGGTGGTTCTGTTGATAGAAAAACAAATAAATTACTTGCTCAAGAACTTAAAATTCTCCCTGTAGCCCTCACCCACCCATTGAATCCTGATTCCAGCAACACTAAAATAAACTTTGGCCTCATTTCTGGGGGGGAAATATCAACTGATCTGAGATGGGGATTGTTAGATTGGTGTTTCACACACATATTAATGTTTTGTTTTTATGTGCTTAATTATCATTTTTGGCATTGCGTTATAAAATACTTTTGTAAAACTAAATAAAAAGATAGCATCCTGCATTACTCCTACTTGACTAAAAGCAACCACTTATGCTACTGCATAGAAACTTCTTGCTGTTATAATGGGAACAAACAACGTCCTAACATTTTTAACTTTACAATTTACCCTTACAATAAAAAATTAAATGGTTCAACTGAATAGTTGCCAAATTAACATAATCCATATTTTTTAAAAAGATAAAACAATTTTAAGTATTTTCCCAAATGAACCAAAAATATTCAATCAACACTATATTTAAGAAATATTATCTTTCAAAAATCATCAGCATAACAAAAGTTTGCATAAATTGGGACATTTTCCCTTTAGTTTTTGTCTAGATACTAACTTGAAAATGAGAATACAAAGACAGAAATATTAGATATTAGGTATACTAATCTAATATCTTATAATGGTTACCTGTTTATGAAAGAGGCATGAAAAGTTGGATATCAGTACTCTACTATGACGATTGTATAATGTAAGATAAATATAGTGCAATATTCTAACCGTTGCGTGAGAATGGCAGCAAAATAATAGTATGTAGCATCAAGGAAAACATAGAATTATAATAAATGCTGTTTTTAAGAAGAACTATTGATACATTCCTTTTATATATTTTGCTTCTCTGCTTTACTATACACAGTTGAAAATAATAAATACCACTAGATGCAGGAATATCTTGATGTGGTGGTATGTTATTACTTGACACTAGCATATATTTATGGAAATCTGCCTGAGATGATTGTCAGAAGATTTTATCATGAAAACAAGCTTTAATAAAAGTTTTTAAATAAATTCTGTTTCTTTGTTATAAGCTGTTAAATATTTAAATATTTGGCACATAATTAAAGGTTTCTTTTTTATTTATTCCACACTATGTTATTTTCTAGAACAACGACTTCCAACTTTTCCAGCATTTGTATATTCAGTAAAACTGGTAGAAGGAGTTGTGGATGAAAGGCCTGTGTATCTGTAATGATGCTACAGCCATTCTTTGATAGGCCTAGGTAGAGTTACGAATTCCCCACAATGGAATCTTCTGTGGACCCTTCCCCATCCTGATTCCTGCCCAATGTTTTTTATTTCAATTCTCATCAAGAGTCAGGCTAGCCTTGTGTGTAATCAGGAACTAGGCTTTACATTGGTAAAAGGCTAGATAGGATAGAGATTGAGATTGCCCACTTTCGTACAATATGTACTTGACCTTCTTTCTAATAACACATTTTCTAAGGAGCTTCTCCACATTTGCAATACTTTCTGCTAGAAAAGATTTAAGATTGTGAAATACTTATTCTTTGATTGAATTATCCAATTCTTGATAAATCTGAGGAACTTAAAATCATAAATTAAAACATTGTCTTGGGAAGATTAAATGTTTGTTTTCATAAACATTTTTGTATTAAACTTCTAATAACAGAATTCTTAAAACATACTGTGTGATGCAACTCCTTGAGGTTATAGCAATCTAAGACCAAATATACTACTAGGGATTATATTCAATAACAGTTCTGAATGCTTGTATTTGTCCTCTAAGATTATCAGTATGACTTTTCACAGAGAAGCTGTTATCTGAAAACATGTTACCTAACATACCTATTAGAGTGAAAAAAATAATTTATATTTTTTAAAAATGAAAAATCAAGTATCTGTTTTGAAAAAAATGTACAAGAAAAAATAAAATACCAGTAAGTAGATATAAATAAAAAATAATTTTGTAGAGGAATTGGTAAATTCAGCACAATACATTTAGACATGCAAGGTAACTTTTGAAACAATATGCTGCATTGAAGCCAAATACAGATTAAGGTAAATACTTTTCTCTGTAATAAAGGTAGCACTAAAATAAATGTACAATTTGTTGATTTGATTTGATTCAATTCTTACAGCCATGTGCCAAAAGTAAAATGGATTAGAACAAATTAATTGAAATCACACCTCAGCCTCTTAGTTTATTATCCAGTGGCAATGTTTATAGCAAGAAGAAGAAAACAGAGTAATTCAAATCTGTCTCATAATGTTCTTATTCAGAAATCTCCAGCACCACTTCCTGTCTATTGTGCTATCATAAGAAGGGTAACTGAAGGAAGAATAATGTCTGACACTCTCCTCTTTTCACAGTGGGGTTTTCTTGTTTAAACTTCCTACCCATAATTTAGGGAGTCTGTTGAGTTGTGAATTCAGAGCATCTGTTTGTCTGTCCAACATTTGAGTTTAGAGGAAGAATTCTGCAAATCGGTGAGAGATTGGGGGATGTAATTGTCATCTAAGATAAGATTTTTGAATTCTTATATGAGGGCAACTGTTTACTCTTCAATGTATAGAACAATTTAAAAAGACTGTTTTCTTTGCACCATAGTTCACAGGGGCCAACAACTGAATTTAAAGCATTTTTTCTGAAATTCAGCATAGTCATTTTGAGAACTGTCATAGCAGTGGAGAAAGGAGATGAAGACTTGGTGTCTTACCTTTCTGAACTAATTGGCACATTAACAGTACTGAAATACCACATTGTTGCCTTTTATTTCTTTCACAAAATAACATTCCATTCTTATTTTCTGTATAACAGAACAATAACAATTCATCTAAAGCATTTCCAAAACTTGACCAAAATATATGTTTTATACATGGAAATGACACATAAACACACATTTTACAAAACTAGAAAGTATCTGTTTTAAATACAAACTATCTGCTGATACATTAGAAAAGGCACAGAGATCAAGTTTACAAATAGGGTGTTATGTGTACCACACTACATAAATGTTTGATACTTACATGGTCTCAACATTTGTTGTTTTTTTATTTTCACAACTAAGGCCATAACCCATGGGCTCATTTCAACACTGAGAGAACACTGTTACACGAGTTGATAGGTTGCAATATAGGCCATTATGTATTAAGAACCATCATGTTACCTGCCTCCCATTTGTCAAGCTAGTCAGTCCTGAAATCTCTAATCCTTCTTTGCATATTCTTCAAAAGCACAATATGTTGTAGACTCTCACTCAAGGAAAGATGTTAATCCATTTCTATCTGCTGATGTCCAGAGCATACTTGCAAACAAAGTCCATGAATAGACTTGGTATGAATTTCATTTTGTGCAGACACCTAAAAATCTGAGATTAAAAGGCAGGTGTGTCCTATAATTTTGTAATTTGCAAAAACAAAGCAAACTTTAGAAAAATAAAGCTTTTTAACATGAAGTGTCTGTCAGATATTTTACTTATTCTAGTACAAGTCTACTAGGGAATATATCTACCTGGTCTTTAGTGCTGATAGTTTTGTTTCTAGTTTAAATAGGCACAGATTAGAACAGATTTATCCAGAAGTATATAGAGATTAAAGTGCAGCATGAGGATTCATCTTAACTTCAGAAACAGCTCATCTGCTATAGCCATTCCATTTTGATCTTTGAATCTGAAGCAAGATTTGAAATAACATGGGAAAAACTGGATTAATTATCCTTATTTTTTCATTGAATGGGAAAACAGCAGACAAACTAAATGCTTCATGAAGAGATAAAGCATGCCAAACTGCAGAAATTGGTATAGAGATTTTGGGGCTATGTTCCTTGAAAAAAAATTTTTTTTTAATGTCCCAGTACTGGATGTTGTTTTGTGACATGTTCAAATTTGTAGCATCAGTAGCTTCCTTGGAAAGAATCATCCAAACTGAATTTTGAATAGGTAGAGAATATAAATCAAAGAATTTCTTGTAAATAATTTTCTTTTTATATGGAGAGGTTCATCGCTTGGAAATTGGGTAGGTCAGTTACTTGACATGAAGAAAATATTAAACCATAAACCATGCAGCAGCCTAGGATGAAAGACTGAATAACAATGAGGCACAGCTCATAGAGTATGCGATATAACTAAAGGTACTTCTTCAGAATTCCCAAAGCTATAATTGGGTTCTGTAGTCCAGGATCATGGAAACAACAATTCCTTTCATGTAAATGACAAAAAGGTTTCCTGCATCATCATTGTTTGCAGCATGTTGAAGCTCCAGATCAAGACTTGACTTTCCATCCCAGGGAAATAACAAATCTGTTCTGAATTATCACATTTCAATCTGGGGGTTGTCTCAACCTCATACACACTCTATTTCAAACTCACATAAGCAGGAATCATATAGTAGGTTTTTTTTTTCTTTCTGTACAATTTTGAATGTGATGAATGGTCATTTGAAGCTATTGCAAAGCTATCTGAAGTTTACATATTTAGATAATGCAGTAGACAATGTTTATATGAGGATAAGACATCAGATTTGGGCAAGTTAGATGAGATTAAAAAGCAATGTTCAGTGGAAGGTTATTAGTAGCAATGCAAAATTAAGATGAACCTATTAAATACTGTATATCAAACTTCTCTTTCCCAAATGCCACATACTTTACAATGAAATTGATTCTCTATTAGCCATATAAAGTTTTGTTCACTCTACATCATTCTGAATTAGGTTAAGTGTAAGAATAGTTTGAAGTAAAGTTAATTTGAAAAGTGCAAAGTATTATATAAATATCTTTAAATTGACAATCTGAAAATTTATAATTGCTAGTTTCAGGCACTCATTGCTGCAATGAATTAAATGAAAATGTATAATAAGGGAAACATTTGAATTAATATTGGATCTAGATGGAGATGTATACATTTACAAAATGCATAATGTTAAGCAACAAGTTTTAACAACAGAATCTTCTAATATATATTTTTTCATAAGGCAATGGGTAATCTTGATCCAGGGCAATAAATAACTGTACCTTTGGTTTTGTTTTGTTTTACAAGTTCACAATTAAAAGAGCAATACAATTAAAACTTTTTGATGAGATGGGTCATTGAATTACCAATACCAGCTTTTAAATATTATTCATCACTCTCACATTCTTCTTCATCATCATTTAATGGATCTGGTTGGATGCTATTCTGGGTATACATTTTGGTTTTTAAATGACAGTTTTGATCCATAAGTATTGCCTACAAAAGAACATAACTATTATATTTCCAAAGCATATCATTGTTTGTGTAACAACAGAAGTCTTATCACTTAAGTATATAGCACATAAGATTAATTTTCAAAAGTTTAATCTATTTACCTGTTTTATAACTAGTGTTTAGCTTTAAATATAAAACACTTAAGATAGCTGTCCTGTTCAATAAATATAATAATACAAAACAGATTAAGTCAATGGTTTGTGAATTAATTCAAACTAAAACTGGAACTAAAAAGTATTTTATCTATAATTTTAAAAAATGTATCTTATTTAAGATACTATTTCAGCCATCTGGATAACATACTGCTATCTAAATATGAGTCCAAAATATTGCAGTTTCAGTCAACTACCAGAGAACAGCAGTTGAACTGTCCAGAGTCATGCAACCAGCTTTCATGCCTAAGGCAGGACTAGAATGCAACAGTCTCCTAATTAAAGATATATTTTAGAGAAAACCTTTGTTAATGTATTTAAAAGCAGTCATGATCATTTTGTTGCAGAAAATGTGGACATGGAAGACATGCTACAAAATTGTTCTATACTGACTCCAGAGAAGAACAAGAGACAGCTCTGTGCTTACCACTTTTTCTTCCTTGGCAGGTGGACTGCGAAGAAACAAACACAGGGGAGCAAAGAGGATATCAATAAGTCCTATAATTGTCATGAGCCATGGAAATCCAATTGACTTTGCAATAGCACCACCAACAGATGGACCTTGGGAAATACAAATTGTGTAACCAAAAGAAAAAGCTGAGCACCATCAATGAGAAAAAAATAAGACATGATCTAAAACATTGGGCCACTTCATGTCTAACCCTAAGTCAAGGAGTAGACAAATAGGCCAATTCAAACTGCCCGGCTAGTCTCAATTGGCTCCTCTTACAAAAATGATAAGGCAGTTACCTATGTTTCTATTTCTGGCGTTATATACAAACCTGGATGACAGGTTTCATCTACCATGCTGCAAACTGAAGCCAGGCTTGTTGGGAATCCCACAAGATCCCAAAAAAGCCATAGATTGGTTCCAAAGTTTAGCCACTCTGAACAGAAAGAGGACATGTACAGGAATGATTGACAATACATTTGCTCATAAGGTGCATTGATAGACAGAATACTCTGAGAGCATGGTTAGATATTTAAAATATGAACATTATACTAAATGTTCCGATTACTGCCAATTGAAATGCTTAGAATAATGTCTTTGCTTCATTGCCATGGTTCTCATAATTTCAAGAAATTTAAGAGTGAAAAGGGGAAATCGGCTTGTTTTTGCCCTAACCCATCATTCTTGCAATTGTGCTATTTTTCTGTAACTTTATTTATTTATTTATTTGGTTTGTCAATTGCTTACAAGATAAAAGGTATAAGTAAAAACATAGTTATGAATACATGGATACATATAAGAAAAATAAAAGAAACAATAGGACAGGGACGGTAGGCACATTGGTGCACTTATGCACGTCCGCTACAGGCCTCTTAAGGTTAAAGTTTTTGGGGTTTGGGGAAGAAACCACAGAATCAGGTAGAGTATTCCAGACATCGATCACTCTGTTGCTGAAGTCATATTTCCTGCAATCAAGTTTGGTGCGATTAACCTTGAGTTTGTATCTATTGTTTGCTCTTGTATTGTTATGGTTTGTTTCAGAAAGTTTAAACAGCATAAGTGGAGATCTGAAGGCCCCAGAGTGTCCCTCTTGACTTTCATGCAGGCCTTGAGACTTCTCCCAATAACTAAAAATAGATACTATGGTTTCCTAGCATTCTGCAGTAGGAAAGGCAAGAAGAAGAACGGCTTGGGTAAGACCTATAATAAGCTTTAAATATCTCTTCAGCTGGAAATGAAATACCCTTCAATTGCAAACTCTCCCCAATCCCAAATCCTGGGAGATGGATTTATAGAGGTGGAGGGGGTTTAATACAGAATAGTGCAAAGATCTTCTGCACCATGTTTTAATGTTATATGCATTTCAAATAAACAGATTTAAGTCCTTACCTAAAGCAAAACCCATACAAAAGGCAACATCTGCAATTGCATAAACGCTCCCATAGACAGAAACATGGCGCAGATCAACAAGGTAACCCATAATAGGCATCAGTGAAGAATCCACCATCCCTGATTATAAGACAGAAACAAGGTATTTGAAAAAGTATTTTTTAAAATATTTTAAATACAAAAAGTATTTTAAGTTTTATTTTTAATACTTTAAAAAGTATTAATCAGTTTCTCTCCAAATATCTACATACAAAATGGCTGGAAATAATTTCTGAAGGAAGTATGTATGTGGACAAGGGCCCAGTTTTACTGAATTTACTGCAGAATTTTTAAATCAAGAGGCATTTCAACAATGACAAAATCATATTCCTTTCAACACAATGCAATCAAAATTTGAAATAGGCTGTGCTTTGTTCACCAGAGTTGAAACAATGACATCAAAAAATTTTTGTAAGATCTTAATAAGAAATTTTGCTTCAAATGTCACATTTGCTTTATTATGCATGTGTTTGCCTTTCTAAATTGGGATTCCTGTTCATTAGAGAGGAACAGTTCAGTTCTGCCTAGCCTATAAAAGCATCTTATAGCCCTTACAATCTTTCTTATGGCATCAAGCATAAAATCAATGGGTTATGATAATCAGTTATGGTATTTCAGGTCTGAAATTATGAAATCTTTTTAATAATAATCATGAATCCCATCTACCTTATTATTCCAATATCAAAGTTCAACAATGTATATTTGAGCACTAGATATATAAGTTTAGATTTCATATACTTATGTATCCTGCTATGATACAAAATTTAAATTGTCTTAATACAAGTATATTATCTTCAGCTGAATGATTTTACTCAGCATCTTAATGTATTCTACTAATATGCAGTTTTATCCTGCCATAAACTGTCCTTAAATCTCCTTATAGATTTAACTGGGCAGGCAGACAGACACATCAAGCCAGTAGAAGAGATATTCCACTCTGTAGGTATAATAGCTGTGCTGCTAGAAATTAATCAAACCTTCTGCCATAATATATAAATACAGCATTTCAAAAAAAGAACTCTCCTGTTGCTGATAAAGCTAGTGCTAATATAAAGAAACATTCACCTTCATCTGCAAAAGCTGTATATGAAAGGCAAGGGCAATTATCTGTGAAAGATTCATCAAGGTTTAGCCCTTTCTATGTTTATTGGTAAAATGTTCACAAAATATTTTCTGCTACCTTGTGATAGTATGCAAAAAGGGGAGCTTTGACTAAATTTAAAACTGATAAATTATATGCTAGAATTAGGTATCCACGAGCTACTTCTATTATAACTAAAGGTAATTTATTAGAATATACTCAATCTAGTTTTGTTTACTCATGTCAAAATATTGTACATGTTCTCTATCCCGTAAAGATTCTTTATATTCTGTAGAATAACATATGTATATCTAATTATTGTACCATCTGTCATATCTGTTATGATACAATAAAATATGTTTAATTTTCTTGCTGGCAGCATAGTCTACCAACATTGCATTGAGACAGAATAGGTTCTCTTATTTGTCTTATGTACTGATAATCACTGCTGACTGTACTTCTTTTGTAGATTGTAAAATATTTGCTTTTTGAAAGGAAGCAGCAATAAAGCATTATCTTTTCCTACGATGCACATTAATTAACTCTATTGGCAATGTTTTTAATGTGTATATTTTCAGAAACAACAGCCAAGCCACAGGTTTCCACATATTACAATAGCTAATTACTGCATACAATCTTTTAAAAATGTTGGACTCTTAACTGTTACTAATTGTTGTTAGTAATGAAAATGGGATAAAGTTTATGTTAAAGCCATCATATTTAAAAAATATACATGCATCTCTTGAATTCAGAGTCCAGGCAGGCAGGAGATATAAATTACGTAATTGATGCCATATGTTGCAACTTAATTAAAATATGAGGTATAAAGTAGTCTATCTGGGATCATGAATCGATCCCATAAATCCAGGTGAGCTATTTTCTATGTTACTGCTTCTACCACTCTCCAACCGAAACATAAAATGTATCTCAAGCACCTCCTCTTCTTTCACAGAATTGTACACATGAACAGTCTGGATGCATCTCTTCACAGGAAAATATTATCCCCTTTCAAATTCATTGAAGGTCATTGATAGAAATCAGAATCTACAGTGTATAACTTATATTTCTCAACCGAAAGTTATGTAAAAGAGAAGATTCTATGTATACATAAAATAACAGAAAGTAGCATTGCAATATCCAAAACCGGCTGGTTGGTGAATTCTGGGAGTTGAAGTTCACACAGCTTCAAGTGGCCAAGGTTGAGAAACATTTCTCTAAATCAAATGTTCAGCCATTTTTTTTCCTTACCAATGGCAAAGCCAACTCCAAAATTGGGTACTATAAGTCCATATATGTTTTTAGCAAATGGTACCTGGAAGTAAAAGAAACAAAATGAAGTATCAAAGTTTTTCATTAGATGAGCAGACAATTTCCATCAGTTTGAGGGCTATGCTAGGTTTGCGTGGCACATGCCTCTTTACATTTCCAAACACAACTTTTTGGCACCACCTGCTTGGTAAAGTCCCAAAAAGAAAGGGGGTGAGACATACTTCCTAGATCCTTGCATTAAATTTATTAAGATTAAATGTACCCATATGTTTGATATAAGATTCAAAGAGTATGTGAATATTTTAATTTTAAAGACTGTGTACAAAGTTTAGTGACACCAGTTATACATAAAAAGTCTTCAGTTATGATAATTGGAGCATGAATAAATGGAATTTATTCAATAGAGTTCAAGTCTAACTGGTTGTGTTTATACATGAGAAAGCAACATCATTTTAAAAATTGGTAGCATTACATTAAAAGATAGGGAAATACTAAGGCTCAGAAAAATGCAAACTAAAAATATTAATGAAGGCAAGATTTCTAAGTGTTGCTGAAGCAAGAGACTCAAGAGACTCAAGAGGGCATAGCTCATTTTTAAAATTATTTTTCTCCTGAATGTGGGGAAGAGAATGAAATGGGTGCAATTTGAGATGTAAATGAATATATCACTGGAAATGCTGTAATCATTTGTTTGCCCAGATAAAAAATGCATGACAAAAAGATATAGTAATGAATACATGAAAATAGAAGTTTTTTATATATTTTAAAGATTATATATTTAAATGGGTTTACAACCAGGAATGTGCATTTTAAAAATGTGTACTGTTATGTATATTTGAGGAAAATATTCCAGTTTGTTTTAAAAAACCCATAAACATAATTTTTGAACCACAATTTTACAGGTTATAAAATTAGTGAATCAAGCTGCTATAATTTGTTCAATAATACATGTTTTAAAAAAATCACACTTAAAAGTAAGAAGCTAAGTTAAATTCAAATTTTCAAGGTGCCCCCCCCCATTTTAATGAGCTACAGGTAGTCCTCGACTTACAACAGTTTATTTAGTGACCATTTGAAGTTACAATGGCATTGAAAAAAGTGACATGACCATTTTTCACATTTTTGACCATTGCATTATCTCCATGGCCACGTGATTAAAATTCAAACTGCCTGGCAACTGACTCTTATTTATGACAGTTGCAGTGTCCTGGGGTCATGTGATCACCTTTTGTGACCTTCTGACAAGCAAAGTCAAAGGGGAATCCAGATTTATTTAACAAATGTGTTATTAAGTGAACAACTGCAGTGATTCACTTAACAAGCGTGGCAGGAAAGGTCATAAAAGGGGGCAAAACTCACTTAACAACAGTCTCACTTAGAATGGAATGGCTCAATTGTGATCGTAAATCAAGGACTACCTGTATTTAGATCAGACTAAATACAGGATGTTGTTTCCTACTTCACTGTTACACACCATAAAAGGACAAAGCAGAACAAAATTGAATTTTTTTGCAGTAACAACTTTTACTCACACACAAAATGCTTATTCCCACTATTATCATTCCAGTTAGGGCACAAAGCCACCTATGAAAGAAGGAACAGTATCTTTTAGCCATCCAGAAACACAGAAACCAAATCTATTTCCCTGAAATAATACATGGTAGATAACAGCACTATATGACTTTAAAATAAAATCACTTATTATTATGAATGCATTAGGATGCTTTCACTAAGAATTAAGAAACACCAAGCATTTTAGAAAATGTTGTCCGTGAATTCAGAGTATAAACTTAACCTACCTTCCCATTTTGTGTGCAAGCCTCCCAAAAAGATTTGTTCCAATCAGATAAGAGATACTAGCTGGAATGAAAGCAATGCCTGAAAAATATGAATGTGTGTCTTATCAACATTGCTTTCAGTGAAGCATAGGAAAAACTAATACCTTCAGACACAGCCCATTTTATTAGAACATATTTAATGAAGGTCCACGGTCTGAACCAAATAAAATAAAATACCCTTTAATATCCGGGTTACCTCAAGCCTTTTATAATCTCAAACAAGACAATCTATCAGATTTAAACTATAATTATATTTTCAAAAGCGTTCTCATAAATTTGTGTTTCTGTGTAGGTGAAGGAGTATATACAGCTCTAGAACAAAGAAATAAGACATATTAAGAAATGTCAATACATTTTGTTAAAAGGTGAATTAAATTGAAAAGTAACAAATAGTAATAACTGATTTTTTTTTCTCTAGAATTAGGTCATAAATTACATTTAGAGATCCAAGCTTATAAAATACAAAATAATTTATGGAGAATATTGATATATAAAAATCAGAACACCAAATACAAGTTGGGCATAAACAATCTTGTAGACAACCCTCACTCTGTCAAGGACCTAGGAGTACTCATCTCAAACTATCTAAGCCCCAGAGATCACTGTAACAGCATTGCCAAAAAGGCATTAAGAGTTGTTAACCTTATTTTGCAAAACTTCTTGTCCAGGAACATTGAATTGCTAACTAGGGCATACAAAACCTTTGCCAGACCAATTCTTGAATACAGCTCATCTGCCTGGAACCCACACTGTATGTCAGACATTAATACGATTGAGTGGGTTCAGAGGTATTTCTTGAGAAGAGTATTCCTCCTCTAGTCACAATAGAATCCTTTATGCCACCAGGCTTGAAATTTTGGGCTTGGACAATCTGGAACTGCACCTGTGATCTGATCTAAGCATAGTACACAAAATTATCAGCTACAACGTCTTGCCTGTCAACAATTTCTTCAGCTTCAACCACAATAACACACGGGTAAATAATCAATACAAACTCAAGGTAAACCGCTTCAAACTCAATTGCAGAAAATATGACTTCAGCAACAGAGTGGTCAATGCCTGAAATGCTCTACCCATTGTTACAGGCTCAAACACTCACAGCTTCAATCTCAAACTGTCTACTGTGGACCTCACCCCATTCTTAAGAGATCCTTTGTTTTTGTTTTTTTGTTTCTTTTTTAAAATACAAGCAAAATATCAATAATAAATTTAAACCAGTATAATAAACTTAAACTGAACAATCTATACAAATAAAAATGATAAAAACAAAAAAGGGGGGAAAGGAGGGGGGAAGAAAATGAACATATTCCACTTTATATATTACAGTTAGTCACTGGTTGCAAATTTACCATATGGTATTATAATCAGATACAAAATATTATTGCAATAACATTTATGCCAAAAAAGGAACACCTTGCTTCATCTTTAGGATAACCAATATTGACTTTTCAAGAATGGATATGAAGCAAACCCTTGGTATCTGGAATATTAGCACTTTTTCAATTTCTCAATATTATTCTTTTAGTCACCTAAAAGTCACCTGCATAGTCATAGAATTCCTCACATCAAGAATTCACTGGACCATACTATATGGTCAATTACTCAGTTAAGATGTAGACTGCAGCAGTTTTGAAAAAGTCAAATCCCTTTTATAATGATGCCTAGCGTAGAATTGCTTTTTGTTGCATGCAGTTAACATCTTAATTGAGCAATTAATTAAGGAGAGACCTGTGATCCTACAAACTTTTTCTCTTACAGATATCTATTCTACACTTAAATTGACTCAGATTTGTTCTTTGCATTCCTCATATTTCTGAAATTGGAAAGAGCACTTTGACATCTGATCTATTGTCCACCTGCCAGTTCTGTCCTTAAGGCTAATGGTTCCAAATACCTGGAATTCCCATTTTGGAAAAGCCAAATTGTGAATGTGTTTAGTTTTGGGCAAGGGATAGATTGAAAGACTTTGGTTCTAAGTTGACCTTTATATTAAGCTATCTTCTGTGACCCTGAGAACTACAGTCAATTCATATTCTATCTGTGTATCTAAGGGTTCTGGAGTTCCAAGGTGCATCATTTCATATATGTCTATGAAGACTCTCAATCATCCAGGTCTTGGTTGTCCCAAAGTGCTTTTTCCAAAATGCAATTGGACTTTCCTGACTTTTTCTTTGAAAATGTTTTGCTTCTCATCACAAATATGTCTGTTCCTCCTTCAGTTTCTGTTCCTCCTTCTTCACAACTGAAGAACTGAAGAACTGGGGTCCTAATTTTCCTGACTTTTGAAGGATGGAAGGCTGAGTCAACCTTGAATCAGTCAGGATTGAACTTCCGGCTGTGGGCAGAGTTAGCCTGCAATACTGTATTCTAAGCATTGGACTACCAAACGGACTATAGTCTCTATTTGTCGGTATAACCTTTTGAACACTGAACAAACTAGAACCATGTTTGATGTAAATGAGAATCCAGGGGGAAAAAAAAGATTGAGTAGGAAAATAGGCTAGTTCAGGTGAGAGGGAAGTCCAAAGAAAATCCATCCAGTTATTTCCTATGGGAGAAGCACTTAGGCAGCAACTTGGAATGTTGCTGATTATTCTATTCCAAACCATTTTATATAAATATTAAAAAATGGCAAATATAATTAAATGTTATCTACTTCTAATGGGACATTCCAATGCTCAGAAAACCTCCAGTGAGTAAAGCTTTTGTGCAGGTGTAGTATACAGTACATTATGTAGCATCTCTACTGTTCTCTTTAGAAGGAATGTGTACAGTACATCATGGACAATCTGCCAATGTTAGGCTCTTGCCTCAGCGAAACATATTGCATTCCCTCATATAGGGAAGGCCTTCATTTCTGTGGATCATAAACAGCAACTCAGTCACCAAAATGAAGTAGTCCCCTTGCCTAAGCATGGAATTGCAAAGCACTGTAAAAGGCACTGCTTTTACTCACAAATTTATCCACAAGTATCTACTTTCATTAGGCATCTGATGAACCAAGGTAATCCTTTGAAATTCTGCTCAGCCTCATGCTTTCCAATGCATAATGCATAAGGTACTATATCAGATAATCATTCTATTAGCTAAATACAGATTTCAAAAATAAAAACCGAACATCCATGATTAGCAATTTTGAGAAGGCAATCACATACGCTTAGGATCAAAAATAAAATAGCTAAGATTTTGTTACAATTTACCCAGTTGCCATTTGCTTGAACACATTGTCTCCATCATCCAAATGGGTAAAGCTGGTTCCAGCATGGCAATTGCCATATTTGCAAAACATATTGCTCCTTGAAAAGAGATGAAAAGTAGATTTTTGGAATTATTTCACTTAAATTCTAATCAATAGCTAGAAAGAGCTATACTGACATGAAAATATGCAGTTTGAAATATTGCTTGTCAAATATACAACAATAATTATATTTCAATTGCCAGGATGGGGAAAAAACATTCAATCCTGTAATTTCATAAAAGTTCCACATTTCCAAAAATGAGACAATAAACAGTACACTGTGTCAAAGACATGGAGTGCAATGTGTTATGACGCTTAGAAATGGTTTTAAATCTAGCAGAGGCAATGCACAACTTTTAATGCAAATAATTTTTTGTATACCCAACTCAGTGATAACATGCATATTTTGTTTTAATAAAATGTGAATTTGTATGTAATATTTTCAATTTTCATATTGAAATTGTATTGGATACAACACTTGAGAATGAGCACAAGAAGGAAACCAAAGAAATAAAGTCTTCTGGATTACTTATCACAAAATAAAACAGTGGCCACATTCCCTACAAGTAGATTCAAATATACCAAGTGTGTTCGTATTTCTGTTAGAATTTCTCTTACAGCACATTATGGAGTAATATGGAGTAATTATGGAGTTTTTACATGAAAATCTTCAGATTCTGTAACTCAATCTTATACTACTCTGCACTGAATGACTTATAAAGCAGTTTAAGTTTAATAACAATAAAAACTTAACTGCAAACTCAACTTGTGCTGACTTTTAAGCTTTTACATTTCATCTAGTATTTCTTAGCTATATAGAAATGATTTTGCCCGGCAGGCATCTGACTTCATGGCAAAGCGGTGCAGATGAGCAGCAGCTCCGCGAAGTCCCTTTCTTCAAGCCCAGAGGCTTTACGGGGCCGAAAGTCACCCTGTAGGGGTGATGTAGGTAAAGGGGATGCTTCAGTGGTCACAAGGAGAGCGCAGTCTCCTTGACTGACCTGAAGAAAGCCCCTTGAACCGGCAGAAGAGAAGATGGCCATTATGGCTGAACCGAAGCCAGGAAGACAGCTGAGATGGACGTGAACAAAGGAAAGGTCTTGTAACAGTGTTTGGAGACAGACTGTGAAGAATCTTGAGGGTTATAATTATATTGGACAGTATGTGAGTGTGAAACAGCTTGGAGTTATGAAACAGAGTGCAGACTGTTGAGGGACTAATTAATGGAGTGATTGTCTGAATTGCTCTAATACTGGCTATCTGGGTGCGACATAACTGAGACATTGGGATTTTGACACATTACTGAGCAAAATGTTAAATTTATTAAAATAAGGTAAAATGGGACTGCAAGGGTAAATAAATGTCTTACTAAAAGAAATATTATTGACCCTCCAAGGTACACAGGAAATGATGACAAGGAACCATAGGGAGATAAAAGAATTGATACATGATGTAGTTATGAGACCAGAAAACTATGGCCAAAAGACATTAAACAACAAACAGGAAGCTCAGGAAACAGAAAATAAAATAGAAAGAGCAGAAGAAAGGACAGGGGAGTGAAAATGACAAATGATACAAAAAAAAAAGAAGAGACAGTCAAAGCTGAAACAGGAATGATGAATTACACTTTGAGTGATCAAAAGTTAGAAGGGAATATACAGAAAGACACCCCTGAAGTGAGAAAAAGACCATTGAAAGGTGTGTTGAAGGTTCAAAAGAGTGAAGAAGTGATAGAGATAGAAGAAATACTTAGATTAAACACGAATGAGATAAGAAGATACAAGATCTCATGAAGGGAATATGAGAGATGTGCCAAGAAGTCAACAAGAGTTGAGATATGAAAATGAACTAGAGATGAGGGATAAATGTAGAATACTATTTAACACAGGAACTATACCGTCAAGAATTAGTAGAAAGATAGAAATTAGAAATGGGGAGATTACCTTTTTGATTTGGGAATTATTCTATTAACTGGTAGAAAATAGTAGCAGAAGTTAGAAATCTAGATATGTAAACAACGATATCTAATGGACATTGAATAATTAAGATAAGTAAACTTTAGGATTATTTGGAGGTTAATTGGTTATAAATATGATGTCTATTTGATGTTTATAGATGTTTGATATTATTAATGGATTACAGATAAAATTGAACAGAGGGCCTAGATAAACAATGTAAAATTCATAACAAGGATAAACAAAGATGAAGATGAATAGATATTGAGAATAATAGTTGTAACTAGTGCGTGTGTTAGGGTTTTGGAAATTAACCCCTAGCAGAGTATTGCAGCAGTAGTCAAGCCAGGCAACCAAAGGAGAGCGGAAGGGCCCCAGAGTATACACACACTGAACACAAACACTGTTTGTAGTTTAAATAGTTTTTAATCCAGTTAGAGTTTAAGCATTGTCATTCAGTCCATTAAGTCATTCACAGTATTTCCATCCAGTAAGACTCACTAGTATAGTCCAAGTTAAGAGTCCTTGCAATATCTTTATCAGCCGATAAAGATATCTTCTCCTCCTCCGGTTTCACTCTCCAGAGAAACAAACGCTGGATATTCAGCAAACAGTAGCAAACAATAACAGTTAATCTCAGTTAGTCGCAGCAGCACACAGTTACAGTAGCACACAGTTACAGCCAGTAAGTAACAGACAGACAGTAAACTCACAGCTTCTAATGCTTCCTTATATTGTAACTTCTAACCGCACCCTTAATCGGCTAATTGCCTGCTGCATTTTGCTTAAAGTGATAAGCACTTAAACCATGATATCTAAGTTATATATATTTATTCACCCAAACCATATTTGGTATCAATGTTATACCTAACATACTCCCCTTTTGGGTGAAATAAATATATAATTCCTTTACAATCTTATCCCATATTTTTCACAACTCTCCTGGTGCTTACTGGCACCTTGGGCTTTAGTAAAATTATCAGCTAAATTGTCCTCCGACATACAGTACTCTAGCTGAATCATCTTACTTCTTACAGATTGTCTCACGTTTAGATATCTTAGATCTGTATGTTTGCTCCTTGTTTTTACTCCAATATTTGTGGCCATTTGAATTGCTGCCTGATTATCTTCATGTATAATTATAGGATAATCTACTGTTATACCTATATCAATTAACATTTGTTTATACATTATTAACTCTGTACATAACAATGATAAACAGGAGAATTCTGCCTCCATAGTAGACAAACTTATATGCTGTTGTCTTATTGACTTCCAGCCTATTAATGTATTACCCAGCATTATGGCTGTTCCTGAAGTCGACTTTCTAGTGTCTCTTTCTGATGCAAAGCTAGCATCTGCATAAGCACACAAAATTAAATCACCCTTTGGTTCTAAATACAATGAATAATTCATTGTCTTTTTAAGATATCTTAATATCCTCTTAGCTGCATTCCAGTGTCTTTCACATGGTGCAGAATTGAATCTAGCCAACTGATTCACGCAGTACGATATATCTGGTCTAGACCAATTACTAATATAACTCAAACTACCAATTAAAGATTGATAAATCACCTTATCAAACTCAGGGCTTTGTACATCAGTGTTGCTAAACTCCTGACTCATTGGAGTCTTAGCTGGCTTACAAAGCTCCATCTTGTAATCTTTTAGCAATTTGCTTATCTTATCTTCCTGAGATATCTTAAAACCTTTCCTTGTTTTCTTTATATTCAAACCGAGATACTTCTTTATCTCCCCTAATTGCTTGATCTTTATTCTCTTTCCTAATGATGTTATTATTTTATTTGCTTCATCATTAGTTTCAGTTATCAAAGCAATATCATCTGTGAATAGTAATAATAATGATACTTTCCCATTTGTCTCCCTCTTAAACAGACATGGATCGGCTAAACCAGCTTTAAATCCTATATTGTCTAGTTCCTTTACAATATACTGGTTCCATTCATAGCCTGATTGTTTAAGACCATAGAGACTTTTCTTTAACAACCAACAATCATTATTATCCTTATTATCACTTTTAATACCAACAGGTTTTTTCATATAAATAATATGTTTTAATGGGGCGTGCAAGTAAGCAGTTTCCACATCTAAATGGTTAACTATATAGTTTTTACTAGCTGCCCACACTAAAGCTGCCCTCAAGGTTGCTGCCTTAAGACTAGGTGCAAACACCTCATCGTAGTCATTGGCATTCTGCCTAAAACCTTGGGCTACTAACCTTGCCTTATGGATTAAATTACCATTTTTATCTGTTTTTACCTTAAATATCCATTTGCAGCCAATGGATTTCTTTCCTGCAGGTAATTTGGCATTTTCATACACCTTCATATCATTTAATGAATTCAGTTCCTTATTCATTGCTGCATACCATTTTTCTTTTTCCTTATTAGGATACTTTTTAATTTCTTCAACAGAATTAGGAACTTGATTAATCTGGCACACTGTGTTAGCCTGGTACCTATCAGGCGGTCTAGATATACGTGTAGTTCTTCTGGGAATTACTGGGCTTACAGGAGGACTTTGTTGAACTACTACCTGTTCATCTTCCTCATCCTGTTCAGCTATTGAATCTGTTTCTTCCTTTATGGGCACTATTTCATCCTGTATTTGTCTCTTTACTTTATTTTTAAAGTTACAGGGATAACTAATGGGTTTTCTATAGGATTCAATAATTACATCTTTATTGGCATCCTTTTCTAATTTCTCCCATCCTTCATGTTCTAGAAATTGGGCACTAGCACTACATAACACTTTAGATGTGCCTTTCTCCCAAAATCTATATGCCCTATGGTTTGCCTGATAACCAACGAAGAAAAATCTTTTAGCTCTATGTTGCCCTTTTTTCCTGAGTTGTGCAGGAATATGCACCCATGCTGGTGCACCAAATGTGTGCAGGTAACTTAGATCAGGTTTCCTGCCATGCCACCTGGTAAATGGAATTTCACCTGTCGTTGTATTAACAACGTTGTTCAATATGTTATTAGCACACATTGTAGCCTCCCCCCACAAAGAATCAGGTAACCCAGAATCATTTAACATTGTTCTAACCATTGCCTGTAGTGTTTGGCCTCTTCTTTCAATA